TGCATCAGGGCGCCGCTTCCTCTGCGATTCTTCGGCCAGAAAAGCTTCCTTTAGCTTATCCTTGTCCAGGGAGTGGAAGAGCAGTAGTGATGACGCAAAATGGGCATATTCCTCACCCAGAGAGCGCACCATAGCCATACACACAAGCTCATTATCCAGATCCTTGATGGAATAGGGATTAGAGCTGTCCCTAGGGCGAAGTTCTTGGATCCTGGACATAGAATCTTCGATTCTAGCGATGAGGGAGCTCAGGGACTCTTCTGGCTGCTTCCTGATCGAAAAGAAGTCGTCCCAAGCATTAAAACGAGCTCCAGGATGTTGTTGAAGGTGGATGGAAGCTAGGGTGGACCAGATTTGTACAGGATCATCCTGTACAGCGTCTACATGGGTCCTTTGTTCACTAGAAAGCGCCAGATAGAGTTCTCCAGCTGCCTTGTCAGCTCTGAGGTCCCATTTGATCTGAGCTTCGAGTTTGGAGTCATCAGGGCGCTTCTCAGTGCCACTGACAATGGTCCAGAGGCCCTTGGTGCGAAGGAAAGCTTTCATCTCGCCCTTCCAGGTGTTATAGTTGGTGGAGGTGAGTTTTGACACAGTGGTCGATGGCTGGGAGTGTTCTTCGGCCATTAGGGCGAGTTTCGAGCAGACAGGGGGAGCAGGGAATGGATGGGATGAGTCTCGAAGTTTGGGTGCGAGGAAAATGTGGTAGAGGCCGAGGGAGTGGGTGTAGCGGGTCGAAATTTCGCGCAGAGACTGATGACGTGTCGTATGACGTGTCCAGAACGTCCTAGAGCGCGGGGCTCATAACCTGATAAAATCACCCAGTCTTAAGGCCTTGTGCCCAGTGTAAGAGACTGATATTTAAGTAAATACTACAGGAAACATACCTTGTGCCCAGTGTAAGAGACTGAAGAAAATATCACTGGGCACAGAGCAGTAAGTGCGCAAAAATGATAAACAGATGTAAATAATAAACAAATGTAAACCAAGGACACTTAGAGCGAAGCTAAGTGCCCACTGCAAGTCTGTAGAGTGAGAACAGAACATAATAAAGGACAAACTGCGAAATGAGGTGCACAGGCACCACATATGAACATCCCTAGGGCGCAATTCCTGGATTTTGGACATGGAATCTTCGATTCTAGCGATTAGGGAGGACAGGGACTCATCTGGGGCCTTCCTGATTGAAAAGACGTCATCCCAGGCATTAAAACGAGCTCCAGGGCGCTGCTGGAGGTGGATGGAGGCCAGGGTGTTCCAGATCTGTACAGGATCATCCTGCACAGCATCTACATGGGTCCTCTGCTCACTAGAAAGCGCCAGGTAGAGTTCTCCAGCTGCCCTGTCCGCTCTAAGGTCCCATTTGGCCTGAGCTTCAACTTTGGAGTCATCAGGGCGCTTTTCCAGACCACTAACAATGGTCCAGAGCCCTTTTGTGCGCAGGAAAGCCTTCATTTCGCCTTTCCAGGTCGAGTAGTTGGAGGCAGTGAGTTTAGCAACGGAGGGCGACGAGTTGGCATGGTCCTCAGCCATGGTGGCGAATTTCGAGTCGAGAGGAGAAGGATAGGGTGGATGGGGTGAGTCTGGAAGCTGGGAGCTCGAAGATTGAGCTGTAGCGAGTGAGTGTGTGGTTCCTTTGGGTCGAGGTTTTGCGCAGAGGTGGATTACGTGGCGACCGACGAGTGCTGAGAATCCTAGAGCGTGGGGCTCATAACCTGTTGAGATAACCACAGACTGAGGCCACTTGTGCCCAGTGTAAGAGACTTTATTCAAGGGAATACTACATAAGACATACCTTGTGCCCAGTGTAAGAGACTGAAGACAATTTCACTGGGCACACAACAGTAAGTGCGCAAAAATGATAAACAAAGGTAAACAATAAACAAATGCAAACCAAGGACACTTAGAGCGAAGCTAAGTGTCCACTACATGTCTGTAGGGTTAGATAGAAATAACACAGAAGATAAATGCAGTCCTGAGGTGCACAGGCACCTAATATGAACAAAAAAGTCTGAAAGTCTCCACTTGTAAGGGTCTCCAGACACTTCTCACACATAGGACTCATGTGCCTTTCCAGTCAAGTAGTGCAACAGAATAAAAGCACACTTCTTAGGCCTGACTCAGCCATCTGTGACATAGGCTGTGCCTTCAGTAACAAATTGCTGGAAAGCATGGATGTCATCAGATCCATCATACTTGTCCAGTGGGATAGGCTTGAGCATTGTCTTTCTTTGGGATTTGGAATGCTTCTTAGATTTATGGCATCCTTTGCCTTGCCCTTTATGGCATCGGGACCTTCCTCATCATCTTCACAAGCTTGTAGATGATTCACTTGTGTCAGACAAGGAGTTGCTGCTCATTGAGGACAAGTCATCATTGCTCAAGCTTGATGAGCTCGATGTATCACTACTCGAGCTAGAAGACGGCAAGCCATCATCACTAGAGCTCTCACTGAACAAGTCTTCAGGCTCAGATGAACTGGAGTCCTCATCGCTGGAAGAGTCCAACTTTTGTCTTGCCTTTCTCTTATTTTTCTTTGAGTGTTTCTCATCCCTTCTCTATCCATTTGAACATGAGTCCTATGAAGCTCTTCGGGTTGATCTGTTTTATAGGTTCCATGGCCTTAGGCATCTTTTGACATTCTTGCTGTTTGTGGTCTGGGCACACAGCTTTATCCACCATATCTTTTACAAGATTCAGGAGTGCCTTCGCAGGCTTAGTCATTTTCTTTTTAGTCTTCCTTTTGTGCTTAGACTTTTCTTTCTTAGACCTATGTTCCGCATTCTCACTATTGGTGGTCAGGCCTCCATCTTTATTATGCAGGTCTGCATTCTTCAAGTGGCTTCCCTCAAGTGCACCAGGTTGGTGTTCTAGTCCACCATCCTTGGTGAGCACATTCACCATATTCCACAATGTGAGGGCTGCATGCTGTGCATCAGGATCTACTTCTGCATCATCAAAATTTAAACCTCCCCAGTTCTTAGGGTCAGGGCCTTTCCCTTTAGGATCTTTGTTTTCAGGTGATTGATCACTCTCAGACATAGACTCGTCAGCACCACATCTTGCCACTGAAACAGACCTCCTCTGGATTCATGCTCTTTCATCTGGGGTCATTTGTCATTCTGCCTGTCTGATGGCATCTCTGATGTCTTGTCTTACTTTGCTTTGGGCATGACACTCATGCGATCATCTGTGCACCACTTTTGTCCATTCAGTGTGCTCTGCCTCTGTCTCACTCACTGGGAACATGGACATGGATTCACATTGGACATCATCGGGTAAGGCATCACTATCTCTGTGAATTGGTACCTGAACTCTAACAGATCTAGCTTGTGAGGTCTCCAGGACAATGTCATCACCAGGATACACCAGTGAACTAGGGCTCGAACCAGGAGTGTCTACAGCTGCGCCACAGTACACTGGACTGGGGCTCCTAGAGCCATTTTTAACCACATCGCTGTAGCTCCAGACACTACCCTCAAAGGGCTTACCAACTGGGGTGGAATACTGACTTCCTAATGGAGTCAGCTTCAGAAGCAGGGTCCTGTTGACAACTTCAGTGCCAGGCTGAGTCATCAGGCTAGGAGGTAAGGATGATGCTCAAGCTTTTGTTGCTTGGTGAATGGACACTTGGGTGTTAACCATCTTTTTATCAAGTATTTGGATACTTACTCTTTTGTCTCTGCAGGGGATCAGTTCTGCAGATGGTGGAGAAGGTATTGGTGGGGATATCATTTAGGGTTTGGGGTTAGACTGTATAGGCTGGAAAAAATATGTAGTGGTGACAGTGAAGTGAGGCACTTGCGATGACACTACACAAGGAGCTTTCCTGTGGTTACCTCAAAGTTCCAAGACACTGAGGTCTGTATTTCTGGTACATAGGAAAATTCTCCCTGTACATTAAGATACATGGCCCTTTTCATAGTAGAGAGAACAGGCATGCAATATCAGTAAGAATGGGTGTGAATAAGAACTAGATCAATCACAAATGAGATACGTAGAAGAAACATCAAAAGAATATTGAACAAGTGATGTGTGGCCAACAGTGTCGGTCTGAACCTTGCACTTATCTACCTGCAAAGGCCGTTGCTGTAGTCCAAACAGCATTCACTGTACTTGCTTTACTATACATCCATGAGTCCTTTGCTCGAAGTCCATTGTAGACTCTTGTACAGTGGTTGCCACTCGTTGTAGACATCTGTGTCTCTTATAATAACAACAATGTAAGTAAGACATTCCAAAACCAAGGCGAAAACTCGAGCTGTCAAGCTCAGGGTCTGCGCCCATTGTGCTTTGCCTCTGTTGCCTGGCACTTCCTATCTCTTGTGGCCATCGATCCACACTAAGTCTCATCATTGTTGCAAGTATCCACCATGCAGCCTCTTGGCCTTCATCATTGAGCAGTCTGTTCTCCTCAATATCATGCTGTAATGTTAGCAATCTTTCTCTCAAGTACTGTACCCATTCTCCCCACTCATAGTAGAACTGTTGTGCTGCACTGCATAGATCCACATTGACAATTCTCTGTCCTGTCTTGTATGTTCTTGTACTTCATCATGTATACTGGATTTTCCTTTAGAAATGCAACTGTAAGTGATATGACACAAAGTAAAAGAGAAAGATTGAGCTGTCAAGCTCAGTGCATGAATCCTCTATGCCCCAACCCTGTTGACATCTCTCTGTTGCTTCAAACAACCATTGCTTGGTGATAATTCACAATCCTGTTGCCTGCACCCTTGACACTTCCTGCAGTCATTTGTATATACCTTGTATGACTACATCAGTAAACCACTTTGTGTGCTGGCAGTCCTAGGGAATCTGTCCAGTGCTGGACAGCTCTGGACAGCTCTGGCCAGCAAAAGTGATTTACTGATGTAAGTGCGATTGTCCTCACTCACACTCATCACACACTCCTGCAATTTCCCAGAAATAAACCAGTTCTCCATTTGTGATGAAGAATGCTTGTTCCATCTGCTTGAAAACAGAGGATGAAGTCTGTAGATTCATGTGGGTCAAATGAGGTGTTGAACATGGATAGGATGGATTCAGCATTGGGTGGGGGTGTGACATAGGGACTGAGTAGCTGCAGAGAGCTGTGCAGTATGCAGTGATATTCAGTTGTGGCACATATGGGGGGGAGAGTGTGGTGTAGAGATTTGATGAACACAGCTGTGGCACCCTTGAGGTCTAGTTTGGGTTTGCTCAATGTGGTAGGTGAGCAAGAGGTACAAGGAATGAGCCCATCCCCTGTGAGTTGGTGTGCGTGTGTGATGTTCTTGATGTAGGTATAATCCAATGGGTTGTTGTCACTGATCTGGCTGTCTCTGGGCCTGAACACCTCCTGGGCCTCATTATATACATTGAATGGCTTCTTGGGACAGGGTACTCATTTGTTGACACTCTCGACATTGGTGTCATTAAATATGACACTTGAGGAACTTGTGTAGATGAGTCTACAGATGCCAGCTGCATCAATGACAGCTCCAGCGCCTTCGATGTTGATCTTGATTTAGACGGAGAGGTCCCTCACACCTTGCCATAGCAAGGTGTTCTGTATGATACATGTAATGCCCAAAATTTTTTATACATCCAACATGTCCCACTCATCTGTGACATTTTCCATATGACCTGGGGTGTCATGATGTCTCTGCATGATATCCAACATGGAGACAGCATCTCCCTTTGCTACCTGCTCGATGGCATGTTGACCTAAAAATTTACTTTGTGCTGTAAGTGTGTTGTTGCTCAAAGATTCATCAACACTCTGTAATAACTTATGTTCCCTAAAACAATGTAGCCATAAGTGAAACACTTGAAAGAAAACAACAAAACTTGGGCCTTCGAGCCCACTCAGTGTGGTCCCAATACTTCTCACATGTCATGTATCCCATTGTGACTTCAAACTTCGCCCTTGTGTTGCTATTCAAATTAAGTCTTGCACACAAGTCCATAGAGTCGCTTCGAACTTGTTTCTTGTGGCATTTTGTGCCCATTGTACTTGTAGTGCTGTAAGATAATGTGGACTTCCTTCTAAGTCATTGTTCACTCGTAGCTGTTGCACTAGTCCCATGGTACTTCCATGTGGTCCTTGTACTTGTTGCTCTGTGACCTGCTGTGGTTTTCCTTCTAAGTCATCATCCACTCTAGAATCATGTGTCCATAAGTAAAAATCTGTAAAGCAAAAATAAAAATTTGAGCTGCCAGGTTCCATATCCATGCATGTCAGATGTTGTATCCTCGACGATCGCTTTTGTCCATAGTTCATCATTGATCCTTGAATTGCAATCGCGAGGACCTCTGTCATGCTTCATCTTGAATACCCATTTTCCCTAGAGTAGGATAGCTGTAAGTAACATGCTATGAAATCAAAACAAAACCTAGAGCTCTCGAGCTCAGCATTGGCCTCCACCATGCTCCATGTCCACCGGATGGCTGTTCTAGCATCACATGGCCCTCGACTGGTGTCAAGCATTGTCATCATCACTGTCACCCATGTTAGTGTCATTGTTGTCTTCATCACCATCGCTAGTCTGTACATGGTTCCATCAGGTGTAGCATCCATACTGTACGAAAAGAAAAACACCACTTTCGAGCCTTCAGTTTGCCCTATCCACTTGCCCCATTCATAGTAGCATCACTGTTTCATGTCATGTAGCTTCGCAAGGACAGTCCTTTGGCTCTCCCCATAGGTTGTTGTCATCCACAGTATCCATGGCTGCTTGAATGTCACTCGCACATTGTTTTGTATGACCATTTTTCCTAGAATAGAGTAGTTGTAAGTAAGACATTATGGAATCAAAACAAAACCTTGGGCCATCATGCCAAGAACCCATGCTCGTCATGCCCCATTTCCATTGAATGGCATCTCCTATCTTGTATGGCTGTTGATCTGCTCCAAGTAGTGTCATCATTGTCATTGTTGCTGTAGTGGTCACCATGGTTATCGCAGTTGCTCTTGTCTTACTTCTGGGTGAGCTTCATTTGTAGCTTGTCTTAGAATCTTGAATTGTGATCGCTTTTTGTCATAGATGATCAGCTTCCCTAGAATAATGTGTTCATATTAGGTGCCTGTGCACCTCAGGACTGCATTTCTCCTCTGTGTTATTTCTACCTAACCCTACAGACATGTAGTGGACACTTAGCTTCGCTCTAAGTCTCCTTGGTTTGCTTTTGTTTATTATTTACCTTTGTTTATCATTTTTGCGCACTTACTGTTGTGTGCCCAGTGAAATTTTCTTCAGTCTCTTACACTGGGCACAAGGTATGTCTTATGTAGTATTCCCTTGAATAACAGTCTCTTACACTGGGCACAAGTGGCCTCAGTCTGTGGTTATCTCAACATAATGAAGATGTAACTAATATATCCTAGAACTAAAACAGAACTCAGAGCATTCGAGCCCAGTAGTCTCCATCGCACATCATTTCCTTTGGACAGTTGTTCTTGTCTCATGCAGTCTTCGACCTGCATTAAGTGCTACTGTCATTGCCAGCAACTGCTGTAGCTTCTGTACAATATTCTGTAGAAGCCTGTACCCCTTAAAATGTGGTAGATGTAAGTAAAACATTCTAGAATCAAAACAAAACCCTGGGCTGTTGAGCCCAGTACCCATGCTCATCATGCCTTGTCTCCATAGAATGGCTGTTCTAGCCTTGCATGGCCACCACTCTGCATCCAGCACTGTCTTCATTGTTTCTTGTATCTCAATTGTCTGGGTGTCAGTCACTCTTCATCACATGTACTGGCTTTCCCTAGTGTAGAATAGATGTAAGTAAAATGTTTTGAAATAAAAACAAACCTGTGAGCCATTGGGCTCTCCATCTGTGCTCTTTGTGCCCCATTTCTGTCGAGTGGCACATCTGATCTCACTTGGCCATTGATCCATGCTAAGTCTAGTCATCATTGTCATCATCACTATCATGCTACTCGCTGCTGTTGTCACCCTTGTCCTTGTCACCATCACTCGTAACCACAGTACCTTGTGCACAGTATGTTGGTTGCCCCATTCTTTGTATCCTGTGATCACAGTGATCTTGCATAGTCAGCCTGTATCACCAGAGTCATCCATCTATGCATTCAACTAGTTAGCTAGGGGAAGGGATGTATGGTGCTTGTGGGAGAGAATCTAAGAGTATTCAGTGAAGTACTATATCACTAGGGGTGCTGCTTGAAAGGGACTGGGCAAAAACCATTAGGTTTTCCAGCCTGAGGCCAAGATCTGAATTGTCAAGCTGAGCTGTGAAACCCAAAACATAAGGAGTCAGCAACACATCCAGTGAAGCTTGAGGCCTGGGAAAAAGGAGCTGTGGACTCACTTCCTACCATACTGGGGGGAGTATGTATCATTTGAGAATGTTAAGAAGCTCTGGTTTGGACCGTAGGAAAGGAGTGAGCACCAGAGCATGGTGCCTAAGGTATAAGGTGAATGAATCCCCTGACCAGCAACCCATGGTCTTAACGACATTGAAACATCAGTAAACCACTTTGCGTGCTGGCAGTCCTAGGGAATCTGTCCAGTGCTGGACAGCTCTGGACAGTTCTGGCCAGAAAAAGTGATTTACTGATGAAGGGACTTTGTTTAGTAGGTAAAAGAGCATGCCTCCAATGTGGAGGCTGTGGCCCTTGATATTTGGCAGTCCTGGGTGAGATTTAGCTAGTTTTGCTATCATTCTTATTACTTCTGTCTTGGATAAGGGTCTAATGCCATGAATGGGGTGCTTCCAGGCAAAGAGGTACGCATCATTGGTAGCTGGGTATAGACAAATGTGGTTTTGTAGGGCTCACATGGGGTCTGTGATGAGGTTGTCTTGGGGGGCACATTGAACCATTTTTCCCTTGATCAAGCACTTTGTGGCTGGGAGGTTGAAGACTATTACCAGGAGACCGTGCTGATTGTGTACAAGTCAGTAACTTGCTCTGGAGATGTGTTTCATTGGGTCAAAACTTTGGATGGAGGGTATGGTAAATTCTCCTAGTCTGGCGATGCAGTAGAAAGTTACTACTATGCATGCATATATTGCTGCATTGCATGGGTCATCTTTGTTTAACATGCTGTGGAGAAGTTCAAGGGTGTCAGTGGTGAATGGAGCTCTGTGGGGACATTTAGAAGAAGTGGGGGCTAGCCTTGTGGCACCCTCCAGGATGGCTTTGTACTCTCTTTTGTTGATGTTCCAGCCACATCTGTGCACAATGTGCCACACTCAGATGCCTGCTGCATAGTTTGTGAGAGTGGAACCCAAGTGGGCTCCAGCACAGCTTGCTAGGAATGCTGAGAGTAAGTTGGATGAAATTGGGCACCTATCACTGTCTAGGATGTTGTTCATGTCACAGAAAATGTGGTAGACTAGTATGCTTGTCCCATAGAGTTCTTTGGTGGCCTCTGTCCAAGAGGCACCAATTATGCTTGTTATTTGCTGGATGATCTCTGTTGAGAGTGGTGCAGAGGCTGTTGCTTCTGGGGTTGAGGAGGCTGGGCACCAGCAGAGATGCCTATCTCTGGCATGACAATGTGGTCTGAGGGGTGAGGGGGCTGGGGTGAGGTGGGGGTGGTAGGGCTTTGGGGCTGATGTCTGTGTGGAGTCTGTGTTGTTCAGCAGTGTGTTGAACTTGTTGGCTTTGTTATTTGAGGTCAGCAATGGCTTTGTTGATGAGCTCATCAACAAGCCATTGGTGGGAGGAGAGGTTCCTCTCTGCCTTGTGCTGTTTCACAATACAGTTGATGGCCTGGGCAGGTTGGAGTGCATAGTAGCCTTCTTGGCACACTCGTTGTTCTGCTGGTAGGATGGGGGCATCGAAGTTAACAATGAGCTGGCAAAGGTAGCTAGGGATGGGGAGAGGAGGGAGGACATTTCTGGGGTTACCATAGATGCCTCTTGATGGCTGGCCTGCTGGGTTGTCACCACTCCAAATGTATGTTGTTTGGATGCTAAGCAGGTTAGAGTTGGGATTGTGGATGAGATTGTGTATACATTTGAAAATTTCATTGACTTCTCAGTTTCAGTGTCTGCCTGTCCACCAGCCTTCCACAATGCCAGTGTTATCTCTGTGGACAGTGATGTGGGTAGGGGAGGATAGGATCATGTTGATTGTGTTGATGAGGAATTCAAAGCTAATGGCTTCTGCCCAGCTGATGTTGTGTTTGGATCCTGCTGACTTCCAGCCTGGGATGAGGTGCCAGGCCCTCCATCCTTTGCTGACAATGATTCCAATGCCAAAGCCAGAGCTAGCATCTGAAAATGCTTGGAGGTCTACTTGAGTTGGAGGGGGGATCAGAGGGTGTTGGAGTTTCCCTTCCTGCAGTGCACTTGTCCACCATTTGA